CATCCGAAACGATCGACTGAGCAGAGGATGGGGAGTGCTCCTGTGTTATCCATCCGACCTGCATGTTGATAGTATTTAGGGCCCAGAAACGTAAGTCGTCGATTCTCTTTGGTGTCGTATGCACCTAAGACTTGGTTATCTGTGGTTACTAGCAACACTTTACCGCCCTTCAATGTCCTCTATGGAAATGGAGCATTGTCTAGCTCCTGCGATGAAACGAGTTTTGGCACGACCACACAGTCACGTGCTTCTGGTGGGGAACTTCAACCTGCACACAATCAAAGTTCCAGCATCGCACAATGAATAATTCAAGGCTGATTCGCAAGAGGTAATTGCCGATGTACCTCTGTACAACCTTATCACCTCTCTCACGCGATTCCGAGCGGGTGACACACAATCTGTTTTGGACCTTGTGCTCTCCAACGATGAACTATTGGTCGACACTGCGACCACAGATGCACCACCTGGCAGCATCGAACGCGCGATGTCGCTCTTTAGTTACATCTGTTACTCGGAGTACATGAGTGAGAACAACGTTGAAACCTATGTCCTTACACATAAAGGTATCCTGTCCAACCTCGTTTCAGAAAACGACTAGTCCTTCCTGGCCGAGATCCAGCCCGATGTCGCCTGGTTGGTGTTTGTCATCTACTACACTGAGCTAGTGATAAATTCGTCAGAAAGTATTGCCTTTCGCCTTAAACAATTGCATTCGTTTCTGAGGTGCCTTACTAGAAAATGCATGGGCTTGAGGTTTTCAGCCTGGCGCATTTACAAAGTTTGTCCCGGTAACCTGATCTGGGGTGGTTACACAACTCAACGAAACCACTGCGTCACGTTTGTCAGCGAAGACAAACACTGACATCAAGAAAACTTAGCGACGAAATTCAGCAAGAATCCCAAGTTGCCGTATAAACACGTCAACAAGCTCCGCAGAGTGCATTGCGGGATCCCGGTTTTATGTGTAAAAGATGGTCTTTCGCAAACCACACAAGGCGCAGCCAACATGCTTCGCCAACACTTCATCGTAATTTCCGGAGTAAATGATCACTTCATCCGCTTATGACACAGCTTCCACCGCCACTAGAGTCAAACCAGGTATGCTTCATGACAGTCAATGTGATGAAAACCCTAATGTCATTGCGCTTGCGCAGCTTACCTGGTGTGGACGACATCAAACCGAAGGACTTGAAGACAGCATTCTCTTTCACAAGTATCGAAACTATGAAATCAGCGACCCTTTACTCGGTTAGATCGGAAACTTCCTAGCTCGACATCAGCTGAATGGGAGAGTCAGCAGCTCCATTTCCGACCCAATTGATGTCCAGTGTGGCGTGCCCCAAGGATCGGTACTGGGGCCACGTTTATTTCTCACATTCATTAAAGGTCTTTCCAGTGTACTGTAGTCGAGTTTCTTACTAGTTGCAGATAATGTCAAATTTTGGCATGATATCAGGACATCAGATGATCACATGGCATTGCAGAGCGATCTCGACAGGGCTTATGCTTGGTCAAACGATAACCGGCTCCAGTTCAACGTGACCAAGTGCAAAGTCGTAAGCATACGCCGTCAGCTTATCTATGATTATCGACCTGGGAACCAGCAGTTACAACGTGCTTCCCTAGAAAACGACCTCAGGTTGATCGTGCCGTAAGATCTTGATCTTGCAGTAAGATCTTGCTCAAGACAGGCCGAAAAGGCATGAAAAAGACGTCGAACACTTCACGCTCTACAAGGTAGAGCGACCAAAATCATTAGAGGATTGTTTCATCTACTAACGCAGATTGCCGTCCCTAAGATTGTACAGTGGTGAATATCGACGTAAGCACGAGGAACTAACCATGGATTACTTAATACTGACCAACCCAACTCATCCATGTAGCAATCTATTGCAGGTGAGCCAAAATATCAACTTGAGGGGCCATCACCTCAAACTGGCTGCGCAATACAGTCGCCTTGATTGTCGACGAAACGTTTTCTCCCTCCATGTGTCCCTGTCTGGAATGCTCTTATAACTTAAGTTCTGCTTGTCCCTACAGTAACGCTACTCAATAAAGGTATTGCTAAATTGCCAAATTGCGTTACTTGCTATAGTCCCTTCCAGTTGGAGGAGGAAATAACGCAATCCTAACCATGTGCTTAACGGTCCTCTCCTCAGCTTGGCGGTGAGAATGCATGCAGAGTTGTCTATGTGTGCAGCCTGGATGTATCTAAACTGGATTAACATACCACATCTGTCAAACGAAGCAACACACCAGTGAGCCTTGTCGTTTCGTTTTCAATTTCTTACTCAGTTACTTAACTATAACGGCACTTTACACTCTTTGGTGTGTGCACATCCCATTCCCAATTTAAACTATCGTTATGCAGTAGTGCACTTAACTTGGTGGATGCTTAAAATAACGAAGTACTTATTCGATGATCCTATAATTTTTAATTTTTAGTCCAAACGTTCTACGGGACTTGTCAAGCACATGCTTTTTACCTCTGACAAACCAATGTTCATTGTTCATGAGCTTATGAGCATCACTTCCATGCACTCATTTGTCGTAAGTGATGATTTGAACCAGAAGTATTCTACACTTTATTGGTTGGTTATCAGTATAGCCAAGCTGCCTGGTTTTAATAAAACATTGTTCAATAAGCAGATGAAAATTGTGTGTTGCCCACCCGAAAACACTGCACAACCTCGACGCGTTTCGATGTAATTTCATCTCATCAGGTGGAGACAGCAGGCCTCGATCCCGTGACCATTAGAATAGTAGCCAAGACTTCTACCCCTTTGGCTACCAGGTCACGGTGGGCAACGCTTGGCACAACAGTAATGACTAATTGGAGGGTCAAGTTTGGACTACCGTTGTGCCAAGCGTTGCCCACCGTGACCCGGTAGCCAAAGGGGTAGAAGTTTTGGCTACTCTTCCAATGGTCGCGGTATCGAGGCCTGCTGTCTCCACCTGATGAGATGAAATTACATCGAAACGCGTCGAGGTTGTGCAGTGTTTTCGGGTGGGCAACACCCAATTTCCATCTGCTTTGAGTACGGTCCCAGTGATCGCCGTAACTAAGGTTCACTTCCATGTGAACCACAGCCCATTACATTGAGATTGCGTGTCGCAATCCAATCACACAACGTGTAGTCCAAACTTGACCCTCCAATTGTTCAATAAGCGTTACTTTTCGATGTGCCCAATCAAGCTGACCTTAAATGCCGCTAACAATGGCAAGATTCAGCTTAACTTCATGATTCCTCGAACTTCGTAGTTAGTAAATTACGGAGAATGATGGTAAAAGTTACCATCCCATCACCATTAGTCAGCGCTCTGCACATCAGCTTTGAGTACGGAGAGTTGTATCGGACTTAAGGGCTCCTAAATGATATGAGAGTTGCGTAGATGAACGTAAACTGGATATTGTCGATGAGCGCTTAAAGCCAAATTGGCGCTGGTTGTTTATACGTTGTGACGAGCAGTGATATGGATAGTTTCCTAGCGTAAAGTAAAACAGCTGCATTATAGTCGTCTCAGTATGTGTCAAAAGACATTTAGGTGACTTTAAAAATATTGGTTGATGGCGTCCAGTTCCGAATTTGCTTGTCGCTGCGGCTTCCATATGGCAGCCACAGAACGTCACCCCGTCACCACCCACATCTACATACAAATACCACATATCCATAATAAATCCGAAGAAATAACACAGGGTGCACGTTGATAAGAGCCAAGTCTCATCAACGGAGCCGGTCCATACTCCTTTAACATTCACAGCAATAGCATTCAAGCCTGTCTACTTTGAGAATCATGCGTACCAGACATACACAAGGCGGTGGTTGGACTTTATTTCGCATACACTGGATGACATTACATTTTGATCCTAACACGCTTATGAGGACTGTGCACCCCATCTCCTAATGCAGCAACCAATTGCCTCCTGGAGCCAGTGAAATCGAGTTGGCGACTTTTCCACAAACAGACAACTTTTCGACATTCACAAAATGCACAACCGCATCAAGGATATAAAAAGTTCGGCATGAATATGTAAGGGTAATCGCGTGAACTGGACAGTAAATGCGCAGCAGTATAACTGCACATAGCAAATAATATAATAAATAAGCTAGTAAAATAAATAAAGAGGCTATCTATTGACTACTAGAAAAAATGAAAGAAAATATGCGAGCAATACTTATGGCATGTGTGGAAGATTAACAGAATTGAGCAACTAAAGTAAGTGGATCTAGTGCTATCTAGTGCAAAGAGGCAAAATCGTAAGTTAATCTAGCCCAACGGCTGCAAAAATAAAGCTGAATATTTGTAGCATCAATCTCAATATGATTTATAACTATTCATGTACTCATTTCCACAGATACGGATGACAACACGCCGCAAGTTAATAAATCGTTTTGGCGATTACAATACATGTACAATTGGAAACTAGTATTTCAGAACAGGGCAAATTCAAATATTATTGTTTGGGTAGAAAACAGTTTATTAAACAAAGCTAAGAGCGTGTAATATTAACATTACGTTTACCCTACGGTGCGGTGTTCAATGGAGTGGTAAAGTCAACAGATATAAATAAACTGGATTTTCCAAGTGTTTTCCTGAGGCTACATGTTTTGATTCTTAACAGTTGTAATTACTTCTTTAATTTATATTGTGCACTGTTGGTGCAGAGATCGAACGGTGATAAGGTTTGCGCTTTCCATATCTTTCGAAGGCGAACTTAATGATACGCTTTCTTCCGAGTCGAATTTATTTATTAGGTGTCGAGATTATTATGTATCTTAATGAAACTCTGATACTGCTCACCTTTTGTAGTGAATTTAATCTCTGTGCTAATGCCTTATTTTTAAAACCGCGAGATTTTTATCTAACTATGACATACAGAGTGAAATACCAGAATTAACCACGTTTATCTTTATTTTAGAAGGTTCATTACTAACTAATACCCAATTTTTATTTAGCACAATTTGTTATAATTGATATAAAATCGATGTGGTACTCACTGATCTCCACATGGGAAAGTTTGTACTTCCATCGCTGTCAGGATTCGTCAAGTGGATTGGACTATCATATAGGCTGGAACAAGCTGTCATCGTTCCAAGACTGGCATTTTCTTTGAGTTTGACTATGCCTCTCTTTGGTTCATTGTAATCATTTGTGTACAAATGCCATTCTTCATTTTGGTCGTCTGATGACTCCCTAAGCGACTCAATTATAGCATTTATTTTCCTTAATTCTGTAACAATTTGTTCGTTTTGATTGCGCATATGCACCTGAAGACAAAAGTGGTCGAGTTACTCCCAGGCGATTGGTTTAATAAATGTGAATGTCTGAAAATTTGAAGGAAAAATCTGCTTTTCTGTACCGCACTAAAAACAACGTACAGTGAAGTTAAGGATAGGCTACGTACTAGAATGTCTTCGTTTGTCCACCGCTCCCCTGGTTTCAGCGATAGACTTTTATATTTAAAAAGGAGTGTTTTGCATCCAGGTTTATTTCTGATTAAACTACAGGAGTCAAAAGGTATGGGGTGTTTAAGACAGACTAGTGAGATGGCCAGCCCGCCCATGAAAAATTACCAGATTTGAATTTGGCTGTTCCAAGGTCTATCGATAGAATACCGCCACATCTATTTTCACGGAGCTGCTGAGGGAAAAAGAATGTAACTACTAAACAATGCGCTTAGCTTCGTTTGCCATGAATCACTATCCTACAAAGCAAAATGTGTTGGCTACATAAAACACTTCTACTCATCGAGTATTACGTTACCAAAGTATGAGAATCATGCTCACATTAATAATGATATAAAGGTGAGTACTGTAACAAGGTGGCCAAGTACGCAAGCTGCCTTTGGAGATGTCAGTTGTCTCCTGTTAGAAATTAGTTGAAATACTGATAACTCGAGATGATTTTGCAGATTTTGTGGCGTTTGCCGAGTTGGAAAATTTGACTGCAGACCTTTTATCACTATTCATGATGACCTCATTGCTGCCCACTTAGCAGGCACATAACAGTAGCTACTGCAATGTAAACACAAGGATAGATACCGTCAGCCACCACTACGTCCCTTATAAGATTTTATGGGATTGCTAAGTTGGCCCTGTTCCGGTTGGTCCTGTCTAGTGTTACGTAGCTGTGCTTCCCAAATATTGCTGCAAGGTGGTAAATATTCTCGCGGTTGCGTCGGTTCAGTGGTCATAAGTTAGCATCGTCGACGCATCGACAATCTTATCCTTGTCTGGGTGGCAGATTGAGTTTAACCGAATTGCTGTTTCAGTTCTACACAAAAACATGAGTTTTGGAAATACATACGAGATTCCCTATTATTCGGTTAACTTTAAGTTCAGCGCGAAAATTGGCTGAGAATCCACTGCCAACCATTAAAACAAAAATCTGGATTGGCATTGTCAAGATCAGTCGTAGTCAAGTAGCGACGGTATTCCAAATGTTTAAAGACGCCATGAACGAAATCTAGTATATCATAATAATGTTCAAACTAAACTTCTTCTATTGAATATCATAGTAACCTAAACAATGAATGTTGCTTTCCATCATTCCATTAACAGAAATGTAGCAATATAAATAATGTACCGAACTACAAAAGCAGTTTCCTCACATTTCACAAAATATGCCATATACATACATGTTATATAGGATAACAACTCACAGTCGTTTTTGGGAAATGAGGCGAGCAAAAGCAAAGTATATACTAAAGGCATTCGAACTTAACGGCTGAACACCATCATTTATTGTTCAAGCATGTTTAATGCACAAATCCACCAAATTCGAGACTATGCCAGTAACATGGAAACAAGTCGCGCTGTAGTATATAAGAAACAAATCTGAAAAAAGCAGATTTTTGAAACAACATTCTGTCATGTTATCACACAAAACAACCACCAATTTAAGGAAAACCACTCCAGCATAAAAAAACAACAATAGGGACAAAAAGGGGCGAAATATCTTTTAAAAGATACATTGCAGAATTTGCAAAAAGCATTACGTGGGACAAACATGAAGACTGTCAACAAGGATACAGAAACGGAGAAAGGTGTGCACAAAGCGTTATACGACCTAACTAGTTCTAGAGAACTTGAGTAAAGAAGGGTACATCGTCGACTGGAACAAAGTAAAGATTCCGGAACAAGAAAAAAACCAAAAATGTGGGTTTCCTCAATACTAGTTTTCAACTAAAACCTCACGCAATGTACATATCGACATAATCTGTTATCCAAAATACCGGTGCTGAGGGTGGTCATAAACATTAACGTCGCGGTTTGTGTGAACAAACCCGCAACACGCAGAATTAAAAAACCGTGGCTGTCAGGCACGTTACACAATGAAAAATTGCAACTGGATGAAGTGGAGGCTGACGACATCCATCCTTGTGTTTGCCATTTACTAGCTCTTGCCACGTAGTTGCTGCCCCTTCAGCGCTGATGTCACCACAAATGCAGAGTAAAACATCTGCGCTCAGGTTGTCCATGTCTGTATACATGGTAAATATTTTACTGTGATCTATTGCTGTTTTATAAGCGGGCTCCTATAGGTTGCACCACTTGGAAGTTAGCAGAGCAGAAGAGTGAAATTCGACTTGTCGGATTGTGTGCCCTGATTAGTTGTTTGTACAGTGATCTTATAGGAAGATAAGTCGGTTGCGGCATTCTAAAATGTGTGTGATGGAATTTATATTTCATTGTATATAAACGAGTCATCTGATGGGTACACAGCAGTGCAACTGGATTGTCAAAGATGCATCTATGTTTCAATACCCAAGTATGTGCTTTTGTTAATACAAGCATTTACCATAGGTTTGCATTAACTGAGTTACAAGGAACCATAGCCGATATCCAAAGTGGATGCAGATAGTACCTGCATATTCTTGTCGAGAATGAAGTAATCTCAAAGATATGTGGTTTAAGCTAGCGGTTCTAAATTGTGCAATCCCCAATCGATTAATAATCGCGTTAAATATTATCCAGCTTTATATCATACTTCTATCGTAACCTAACTATTTTATTAAGTCAGTTATTGTTTTTATAGAAACCGGTGTTTCGTTATACTTTTCCTTAACACTTTTAATTTGATAATGTTGAAAACAGATTTCTCTTATAAACTTTTTATTTTTGCTTACCAGATTTCATTCTGATCTCCAAGGGTCTCTGATTTCTGATCAAAAATCTTTAGGTAGCAGCCAGGCAAACTGGGAACCGATCTACTTTTCTTGCAGTGGTGCAGAATTAACATGCATACATCGCAATCGTTAAAGCGACCTGGCATGCAACATTCAGTTGATAAGTTTTGCAAAGTTAAAGGTAGGGTTTGGTAATCCCTTTTATGTACGTTTTTATCTAGCTTTCGTAAAGTAAGCCAACCTAATCAAAGCTTAGAATGCTCATATTTGATGAAGGAGTACACATTGCAGGTAAAAATGTGTTACTCATTTTCGCCAAAGTAGCAATTAATAGTGCAAGAATTTGAACTTCTCAAGTGTGGAAGGGAAGGTATTTTAACCGACGTAACTAAATACTAAGACTGTTTATTTGAACAACACAATCTTTGCTGTTATTCCTAATTAACCTTTATACATAGCAAGGCAACATTTTTACATAAACGCTGTATCGGCTATGAACTGCTAGTATGATCTTCCTGGCCTTTTGTGTGGTTCCAGTTACCCAGTTATCTTGTAGTTTAAGGCACCTTAATTTAAGGCTCTCATAAAAGAAAGCTTGAAAATAACGAATGAGAAGTACGTGCCGTTTTTTCTTCCATATCATCGAGTAAACACGAAATCCATTCGATGGATCCTTTTGGTACTCCTCTTCCATTGACCAGTGGTTTGATATCGTTTAACCTTTCATGAGAACGTGCTAACCGTGGAAAGTGATGTTCATCCACCTTCTTCGTTCGCTCTAGTCTGGGAGAATTATTCCACAAATCTTGCCGTTCCATCTTTCCCTTGACAACTTTGTCATCGATATTTTGCAATAACTGTCCAAGAAACTGGTTTGAAAGTGACTCTTTCGAGAGGATCCGCTTCTGACTGACGGTAGGTTTATTGACTCCAGCAGATTTATTCGAGTCGATTTGTAACAAAAGCCACTGCATCAGGCTTCTGTCACTGTCCATCGATTCATGATATGTATTAATATCGGAAGTTAAATCTCTTGTTTTCACATGAAGGTTCTCCAAAATCGAATGAGTATTCGCATCAGCATATTCGAGTTTCATAGTTCCATTTAGTTTGACCTCTAAAATGAATAGAAGACAATTTCGTAACACGCCAAGGTACCTCCATCAAACTGCACCTTTCCATTACTTATAAGCGAAGTATTTATTTATCTATACATGCAATGAAAGCATACTTTTCACCAAAATGATTTACACCGTCAAGTTCGTGGATTTTTATTCATGGATACGCGCATTATTGTCTCTCTCGTGTGAGTAGCACTTACAAGCATGCTGTTGGTTTACTGGCATCAAAGCAATCATAATTCATCTAGATGTTCTACCTTCTTTGAATTAGACTTTCGCAACCCTAACTGGACTTGCTCCAAATCTACCTAATTGAAAAACAGACAGAATGTAGTACACATCTAATTGAACATGGTTACCTTTTTAAGCAAAACATCAGTAAGTTACTGACAGTAAGTAATTGGTGAAGCCCTAGGCAGTGCTCAAGCCGAATTTAGGTCAAGGCAAATCAGTTGGAGTTGTGCAACCGCTTGGTACTAAAGTAAGCCCTTCTTGCACTGCAATATGAAGAGCCTTGTCTTTCAACTCGCTGAAAATATTGACCCAGTTGTCTCTCACCCCAGTACCAGCCTTTTTACATCGTTTGTGTACACACTGTGTAGGAATTTCAAACTGTTCAGCCGCTGTCATTGTCCAGTGTGAATTTCTAAAGTACCGTTCATAATTTAGTGTCGAATCTAAGCTAAAGATTATATATATACGGTATATCTAAAATAAAACCAAGGTAAAACATTCTAAAGAGGAAGCATACTTTAAAAGCTATATTTTGCTCCTACGTGCGATTAACTGTAAGTACCAGTTGCCTCGGCTGTATTTAAGTCATGCGGCACTTAAAACTAGGATTTCATGGAATCAAATCTACTGGCCACTATTTCATCCAAACAGTATTCAAACGATTTAGATGCGGAGACATCATCAGAGAAACCAAAGCTGTGAATACTTGTGCAGAGTTGGTACAGATGGAAAACGACATAGCAAGGTACAAATTTTGATTATAAGCTCCTTGACAGCTTTTAGTTAGTTTTCTAAAAATCGACAGATGTCTTTCACCTGGACTTCTGTGAATGTATTGAACTCCACGACTAACAACTGTTCCTTTACAAGCTTCAAATCTATGGAATTTAAGACCTTGTCCTTGGCTGAATATGCAGTTCCATCCTTCGGCATCCGCTGACTTTGAGAGTACACAACGCCTTTCCCGTCCAATCAAAGTCCAGTGTGGCGTGCCGGGAACAAAGTAACTCGGACTAAGCTTATTCTTAGTCTAAATGAAAAATATTGCTAGCGTACTACGGACACATTCCACAAGTTGTAAGCAGTATATAAAGATAGAGAACAATCAAACGGCACTACAGAGCAATCTCTGAAGGACCCTTACATAGTAATATCAAAAATGTTCTCGTTTAGCGTAGTCAGGCAAAATGATTGTGCATCCGCGATCAGCGTATCTAGGAATACAAGCTTGGGAAACAACCTCTGGAACATGTTTCCCAAAGAATCCATAGTGGTACACGACTGAAGATAAAAATGACTGCCCTAGGCAGACCGAGAAGATATCAATAAGAGGCCGTCTGTCATTTTATTCTGCTCATAGCGTCTGGGCGGTTCGAGTCGTCTTGTATTACACAAACGCTGAGCACTTAGATTTGTCTTCATGTGCTTTATATCATCTAAGGCCGGTGTACTTAACAGGAATTTAATGCTGAGGCACACAAAACTAAAAACTTAAGACTATTAAAATCATAGTGGCCCTTTTTGCCTCTTACCAACTTAGCTCGCAAGGTCTTGGACCGTCAAATGATGAAAGTTGGCATCTACGAGGATAATTCATCATCATGTACCTATTAATAGTGAAGTGTTTGGGTGGTGCCCTGTTTCATTACTACATTCCAGAACAAAAAGATAGTTTTGCTGTACTTCAGGCACGCCTGCACAAGCTGTCGAAAAGGATCCGTCATACTTGTACGGAAAGTACCAAGCCTAGACTAGGTAGTCTCTCGAGGCAAGCAACTGAAGGCTGGTAAAACAAAAATATACGCACGATGTGGGCAGAGATATTAAAACATAACTTCCTGTTATCATGGTTCTATTATACACATTAACTACAGCAATCGACTTATGAATAGGTTTGCAATCGTAATAGCAAGTGGTAGAAAAAGCACGACGTGTGGCAGCGTGGCGAAATGGTACAGCTTATCAATTGGCTAATAGGCAGAATTTCAAGGAAGAAATATTTGACCTTGAGGAGTCAAGGATATGGCAACGATAGGAAACGAAAACGTTGAATGTTTCGTACTGCAAGTGTTAGACGTAAAGGTGAATAACTTTAGATGAGGATATAGTTGAAGGGTTTAGGAAAAATGGATACTATGTCCTTAGTAAGTAAACCAGTTGGGCTGAATTTTCAAAGTTATCTTTCTGCTTTACGCACTTCCCGGGGGTCTTTTAGGTGATCATTCTTCGCCCTATGTTCTGAGAAAGCCCATGACTGGAGAGCACATTTTTCGGGTAGTAGTGAATAAAGGTCACAACATCACATTATCAGGAAGGAAGATGAGCTGACTGAACTCAAATCGCATCACACCTAAGAGTGGGTATTTGTTACTGCTGAGTCTATTAATTTGTCTCGAATTCCCCAGTTGTGGAACAACCAGTGATTTCAGTTAGTCTTTGATCAGTGTTCTGTATTCACCTAAGTCGACTGTGTTTCGAATAAGCAACCACATTTTAGCCTTATGTAGTCAGATTATTCCCATGTCAGCTTATGATATTTGATTTTATCATATCGCTTCACCTACTTTTCGATTTGACGAGGTATATTTTCCAGTACAAAAACAATTACTTGGCAAACTTTGATTCGTGTTCTAAGTGGCATTTGGTGTACCGCCGTGCCAAGTCTTGATAGCGGATCTTAGAGCTATAGTGGTCAAGACGTCAACCTTTGAACACTAGGTCAGGAGGTCCACCCCGGCACAGGCTATCTACATCTGATGAGTCCAAAGGAGGAGGAAACCGGTTACGGGGTGCCAGGGTTGGGAGGAGCAACACCGAATCATCAATTTGGTTCTTATTATTTTCGAGTCTTCAGCCGTCAGTCAACATATATTAGATGATTCATACACATATAAAAGATTCTCGCCCTTATAGTTGTGCCGAGCAGACAATACGGCACATATGTATCTACTAACGTATACCTTCCTTCTACACAATGCAGTATCTTTCACAACTTCTGCTAACGGGCAACTGGCGCTACTCTCAGTAGCCGTTAACCGTGGAATAAGGCTCTGTTTTGTGCTACTTAGCGAAAAGTAAAAAATTATATATTTTTAGTACAAAGTTTTAGATACTATTCAAGCAAGCAATCAATTAACCAACAACGGCAGTACATCAGCCAGCTGAACTGATGCTTTGCTGCCATACAACCATGATGACTTTTGGAATAAAGAATAATGAGATGGCAAGTAGGGGGACTTACCTGAAAACCTTAATGCCCTAAGCCAACATTCTGGGTCAAGGCGCCTACACCTTGTGTAGACAACATACCGTCACAAACAGCTGGCTATCGTGCAAAGATAAGGCGGCATCGGCGAGACAGGTTCCTTGCGGCTTTCACTGCCCCGCGTCATAATCAGCCATTACCCCGCAGATAACTCAGCCCCAAACACACTTTAAACAGACAATCCGATTAGGAGACGGCAGCAGACGAGCCACTGGTGTCGGTTGCGAGCCACGTCCTGTAAAGTCCCAAACCAAGCACAAGGCGGGTCGCGTGAACTCCAGTCTAGAAGGTGAGAAGGGCCGACGGCACCAGGTTCGGTCGCAAGTGACTACATTTCATGCTGCCAAGTCAACTTCTGTCCCCCTCGAGCCTCTCGCCACCCTACCTCTAGCAAACTAAATAAGGCTTTCCTCGGTAAGAGCTGAACAGAAATTTGTAGTACTGCCTAAGGCAACACAACTTATTCATTGCTACCTTTTGTTCTAAGGAGCTAGCTTGAGTATCACTGCCTAGCACTCGTCTACGCACATCATTATTGCGGACACGCTGGTGCCATCCGACAACAGCAATGCAAAGACTTGAAGGCGCGTCAGATCTTCAGACCGAAGAGGCCAAGTCTCACTACCATAGAGCAGTACGGCCCTCACTGTGGCCTTGTATACACGGTCTTTCAGACGAAGGGAAACTCACTTCTGTCACCAAAATGCCGCAGGTTCAAGAAGACAGTTCTGGCTTATCTAATGCATGAACTGAATTCCGTTTCTAAGGGCACATCGTTGCTGATGCAACCGCCAATTTAAGTGAATCGATCAATTCCCCTTGAGTCCCTTTTTATCAAGGGTCATGGGGTCTTAAGTGGCTGGTGCTCCTGCAGTAACGCTTTGCACTTTGAAGATGCGAAGCGCATACCAAATAATAGGACCATCCTAGGCAAGTTATTCAGGGTCGATTATGCCGTCTCAACATCAATAAAAAGGTAGATGATATCGTTCACATGATGAAGATCAACTTGCCTTTGATCAGAAAGGACTTCTACACCTACATCGTAAGGTTCAATGAAGGAACGCTCCATGATAAAGTCCACGACGAACTTGAACAAACCGGGCAAATCGGACAACCCTGACGAACGCCACTTGTGATCGAAAAGCTATCCGACAGGTCACCGTAGACTTTGGCGCGACCTGTAGTGTTCGAGTATAGTGCACGAGGGATGTTCACATATTTCGTGGGAACACCTTTCCGCGTAAGTATTTCGAACAGAATCCGTCGATCGACTGAATCGAAGGCATTCTTGAAATCGAGGAAGAGAGCTATTGTCGGTTTGAGGTACACATGGCGTTGCTCTAGCACGTGGTGCAGTGATTATATGGTCGATCCAGCCACGCCTTGGGCGGAAACCTGCCTGCTCTTTCCTAATCTGAGATTCGCGCTCCACAGTAAGGCGACGAACGATAATCGAGGCCAGTAATTTTGTCCCAACTGGCGTTAGGCTAATACCTCTGTGGTTAGCACAGTCAGTGCGGCTGTCCTTCTTGGATATTGCCACTATAATTCATTTACTCCAGTTAGCTGGAACACTCTCTTTCTTCCAAATATTTTCGAATAGGAAGCTCGTTGCTTTGCATAAGATCTCACCTTCATCTCTAAATAGTGTAAGTGTGAGGGAATCCGTACCAGTAACAAAAAGTCATTGAGGACTGTGATCGGGTTTCGAACCTCAGCCTCTGATGGATAATCTAAACTAACCGGTCATGGCTCGTCCTTCGGCACCTGACTGGGAAGATATCCTGGAGCATGTGGCCAACTGAAATGTTCACAAGTGGGTTGCGCTTAACTAGCCATACGGCGCTACTTATTATGTACCAGTGCACCCGCACTGTCGTTCATTGTCCCACTAACGCCATGTTTCCTTAGACCGGTATTGCAGATCAGTTGGCAATGTTTGCGCTGGTTCCTTACTGCTCCTGCCTCCTCCATTTCTTGCGGTGAACTGGTCCACCAGGCTTCCTTGTCAGTACGCAGATATTGCCTTAAGTCGCGCCTAAGTGTCTGACTGGTCACATGGTGCTCAGAGCTAGCCAGAAGTTTTCTTCTGAATTCCAAAATGCTCGCCAACCTCTCGGATATCGAGTGAGTGGTGCAGGGAGGATTGATATTGCCACTAACAGATGCCATTGCTTCCTGGTGGCAGCCAACATCCTGTTGCAATAATCCTCAGTGTCCTTAGAACAAGACGGCGATATTTCTGCACACAGTGCATCTTGATCGGCCCGACTGACCTAGGACTGAGACAATTTATCCTTTGCCAATCGTGGGAGAGTCTTGGTGCCCCTCCCGGTAGCTTACATGGAGAAACGACAGCGTACCAAAGCATGATCAAAATCGAAGCAGGTATTTCAGAACGAGCAGCAATCCAGCATGGAACCACGCCACATATATCTTATGGCAATGTGATCATTTGGGGTCCATCGCTGGCCTGTTACAGGAGGATGCCACTTTGGCCCCCACTGTTCTAAAAGCGGGGCTACTAAGCAACAAATGCTGCTCCGCACTCTGTTGCAACGGCGCTCGATGTGCTCCATACGGTCGGAGTTAAGTCCATAATTACTACATAACTGAGCTTCTACAGTGTTCAGAGTCTCTACTCATGAGTTTACATCCTCTGTAAATAGTCTAATATCGGAACTAGTAGCAATGCGTACAAGCGCTTTCAGTTCGTGATAGAATGTGTCCTTGGCAGCATCAGAACTGCTGTCAGTGGCAGCAAAAGCGGAAATCACCAACACATAGACTCTTGCTCTACTTCGTGAATCAACCTCGGTTGATGTCGTCAAACGGGCTGCACACAAATGACTGTTCACCAGAATCCAGTCAATCAACGATGACTCAGCCTTGGAACTGAGAATGGTAGCTACCCAGCTTGATCCGTGAGTGCTGCATCAGCGTCTCCGGATGTGTGGAACCAATAGCGAGAGGACAAGCCAGGTGCAGTTAATTCAACAACCGCATCAGGGTCATTGATCTTATTTTAGGACACCAACACACATCAATGCCCAGTGTGTCCAAGGTGCGTGAGAGTACAGCCTGTTGACATGTTTGTCTTAGAGTGCGAACATTAAATGCCGCCAGGGAAACGGGGCAGTGTGACCTTATAAGAGACTGTTGATGATAGGCTTCTGCAGGGTTTTGCGAGAACGTGGTTGCAGATGGTTCCATTATAATGGCAATTCGGTTGCTGTCAATTAAGCTTGGAATTATGGAAGGAATGTTAGTAATGGGGATCCTGATGGACTTAAGAGAACCTGGAGGAAAAGAAAGTGGGGAAGAGACAGCTGTAGCATGTTTTCGCTTATACGCCCTGCTACTTGTAGCAGATAAGGCGGCCCTTAATAATCTCGCGATTGCCGGTGCGGTTAGAGTTTGGAAAATTGTCTTGGTTGTTTGTGGGTTGAGATACTGCCAGGGCGCCCAGACTTAAACGATATTATGATTCGGGTCCTCAACCAATATCTTTGCCACGAAACGCTGTCCGAAATGCAACGGGGATTTGGCAAGGATTTTGTTCTACTGAAACAGACGCCATCCCATTTTGAACCCTCAATCTGGAGGCCCAGGATACTGAGATTTTCTGACCTCTAACCACTGACTAACCTGGTCTGATTAGTTCTCAAAGGGCCGGGGGCGCCACCCAGAATAGCACAATGGGTCAAGTAGGTACGCAAACCATCGCACCACCTTAAAGCGGAGTCTCGTTGCGGCGGATTGGATATTACGCTCGGCCCAGACATAAAGTAAAACATTGAACTGAAGCAGTACGAGTTTAGACCTACTTCTCTCAGCTTAGATCGGTCGAGTGCTATTTCCTTACTTCGAATACAGAAAATTAAGGGCTTGCCTAGAAATGCGCTTGCTCACAGACATCGTCTTGTTGGGGGATATAATGCAGAAGCTAACCTTGTTCAATTAAACTAGTCACGCATTTTTGCGGTAATAAATAACTAAGTAAATAAATAAATGTATATTCTCAGTAAAACGAGACACATCTGCGAAGGCGCGGTCAAATATGCATACGTATAGTTTCTTTGGAATAGGGAAACATTTCCTTTTAATGAAAGTAAAACCGAATCGTTGTAGTTAATCCGAGTGGGAACCTTTTCTTGTTATATTCCGACAAAAGAACATGATGGTGCTGGTACGCATAAAAATCAGTCATAACTGTTGTGTCAATTTGCAAGTTGTGCGTGATTGCGCCATGTAGTAATCCATGAGCACAGGAGCCCAAACAAGATTTTGGTGTAAACAAAGTCCTTTAAAAAGTCGAAATGTTCTGTGCTCCATCAAAACATTCTTCATAGTAAAATCAGTTGCACAGATTGTATGAAGTAGTCTGATGACTGCGTCAGTGTGAAATGTACAGCTGTGCTTTTATTCTGTGACGAATCACGTCCGCCACGTTACAGTGTTGTTAAGCAGACATTTGTGGCTTTTTATAGGGAGAAAGCTTGCCAGTCGAAAACCTGCTAACTCCTGGAACTCTGCCATAGCTTCCGTTGAACACTTGTGCTAGCCGGCGATGCAGCGTACAGACCGAGTTTGCACTCTATTATTCGCAGTCGGTTGACGCCCAAATTTCTTCGTTGGTTGACCGATTGACTTGGTATTGATCCTGCGGTACTCGTTAAAACTGGTCAATGATGCAAAAGTGTCATAGAGTGGAATGACAAATGAATGATTAATGGTTCAGGTGAGTAAAAACATGGTTAATAGAGGCTGTCTTCTGTTATATACTTGTCCGGTTCACAGACCGTCTCCAGCTATCCACGCTGGACTTGTCATGGGGACAGTGAATGCAGTTGTTCCTTGCTGCTGAATGCGTCCATAACGGGCGAAAATGCCATCCTTTTGTCCAATGCGGGATCGTTACGAGTTTTCTATATCACAAAATAGTATCGGCATTCTTTCCAATGTAACTAAGTGTAATTGTCTCCATGGTTAAGTGAAAACTCCATGAAAGGCGATCTGGAAAGCCATTTATACGAACGCAAAGCTGTACGTAAAATTACATCGGTAAAGCTCCAGGTGAATGGAGAATCAGAATGTTCTTTCGAAAACATAAGGCATCGAAACCAATTTTTGGAGCGCCGATGAGGAAAAGCAAAGCTATCTGAGGCAGTGAAAGTAATCACGCCAGAATTGTTTGTCTTCCGTTGTGGAACAGGGGATCCATGTGAATATTTTATTCCAGGTGAGTAAATTGTGATACTGAGGGTACGAGACAAGCCAAACCCATTTGTTTAGACCTCATGAAAGTAGCATCTCCAGAATGGCAGAAAGAGCTCCATTTGGAATGATGAGTGGGTTCTACATATCCAGGAGAAAGGATAAAGTGTTTAAGCCAGCTGGCTAACGAAACTACGGCAGCCAGTCCCAGTAGATAAACCTTCCTTTTTCGACCGGTATATCTGGAAATCTCTGGAAGAAACGGGCAACGGACAACAGGCAGCCAAACGGACAGCAATGCACCACTATCGAAAGACTGGTGGCGTGCAACGGTTCCGCTGGTACCCTAAAACCTATGTACCTTTGTCTAGTATACATGACTTTTAAGCGCGTTCTTTACACCACGTCGGTGGTGTGGCTCAGACTGCAACTACTGCGAAGGAAGAAGATACTGCATGCGCAGGGTCAAGAGACCCATATAACAAAGCGTGTTTATAAAATTTAGTGAATAATACGATTGCTGGAGAGAAACATAGAAAAACCGATGACGATAACAGCAGTCCGAATGCGTGAGGCCGCTTACGTGAAACTAAGGCCAACTAGATTGAGAACGAATGCGGAGCTACAGTACGTAAATCAACATTCCAAGACGAAAAGGAAATTCAAAGAATCGGCGAGGAGCGGATGAACGCGGACGGCAGTGCGAAGAGTAATTCGTGAGAGTAATTACGCTGAAGCGCTCATAATTCCATAGTTTGATAGCCTTCGGAATCTAGAGACAAGGGTCACAGACGGCCAAACCTGCCGCGCTTTGGGAGTTGTTATCCCAGGTACGGTCACACTAATAGGCAAATGCCAACAAGAGGTAAAGAGAAGAGGCATATAAAGAGAGGGGAGTATACTAATGGAAATAATGGCCAAGAGGCACTTAGCAATGGTCCGATTACAGCCAGTAAGCAGGAGCGGGATCGAAACAGAGGAGACCATTCGCACAAGGATAACTTAGTGCAGCGCAATGGGTGTAAACCGCACCTTAGCGGTGGGAATAAAAATGGAGCGCAATATCAGAGACGGCCATGGATAAAGGGAAAATCTAAGGATAAAATGGGAAACAAAACGTAGCAGCACTATAAAAGGGTTTCCGATTTAATATGTTAGATACATAAAATCGATGCAATGTAGTCAGGAAAGTAAAGCCATAGCTAACGAAAAAATAATAAGATCCCTTACCATGATTATCCTTTGCGCTAAGACCCTCCGCAATGGCGGTTTTCATCTTGATGGCGCTTTCCAATTTTTCTGCAAATCGGACCAAAATAGTTGTTAGTCCGGGTATCCAAATGGGTAATGTTGATCCGTCGCATTGCACTCCGTCTTGCTCGAGTAGACGATCAACCTATTAGGAACGGCAACTAATTACCTGGTGTGTTTAAAACCACCCACATTAATCCTTGATGAATTGGAGGATGTACTTTCTCCTATATTCTTTTCGGTTATGTTTAAGGAACTATACTAATTGTTTCAACATTCCAGAGCATGAACACTGCATTTCTTTCTCCGTAGTACTAGGCAGCTTTGACGCGGACATAATAGTGGAAGCACTGTTAATAGTGAATCACAAGCTGTGTGAAGAAGCTGACGCATTAGCAAGAATGGTCCTCGTATTTTTTGCACTAGCTAAACGACCGGTGCACAGCATTGAAGGCACCGTTTTCACCGCACTGGCACGAGCTACTGTAGTTAAAAAATGGCAAGTGTACTATGAGGGCATGCGTTATGTAACAAGAGAGCTGCGGTTTTCCATACAGTTGTTTTATGGGTTTTATATGGCCAAATCAACTATTGTTAATTAAGCGTTGTAGATGAAGTACGATATGCTCAGGGTGGGGTAGCTTCTAGTGCCCAAATACTGTGAGCTGCTAGTTAGAACGAAGAAAATCAGGGGACACCAGAAGCGTACTGTGTTAGTTTAGCACTGAAACCTAATTGAGTTGAAAATATGGGGGCATCTAGAGTAAAACAAGTGGTAAATAAGAAATTTAATGAATAAATGATAGTGGAGTGTAAAGATTGATCGCAACTTGATATAACCTCGTGTGTATTATGCCATCTGCTAATAACATATTTTAATTTGACAGTAGTACACCATGTTGCATATTATCTGCAAATTATCTATGCATTTCTCAATACCTAGGTCAGGTGGTGGTTTACATACTGTAACAGCTGGCTTACTCATGAAAGGTCACTACTTATTTAAGTTGGGACCTATGGGTGTGGCTTATCGGATCGCTTATCAGCCAGTTCTAGTATAGTGTGTTTAATATGAGGACAAGCGATTCATTTGTTTCATGGTTTTATTACAAAACACATAAGATAACCTAGACCTGTTTGCAATGTGTTTTGCTAACGTCTAACGTAATACTGATTGTACAGTTATTGAATATTCCAGGAATCATAGCGCACTGGAAGTGATTTGTTTCAATCAGTTTAGTTCCTGAGTAAACAGTAGTTGACAGAAATATCAGTATAATAATTGTGAATGTGGGTCCGGTTGCTTCCGGCTGTTAAACACTAGACCACTGTAAGAAAAACATGCTACATGTTTAGAGGCTCTGTCTATTTGTTTAGGGTTTTTCACCAGTGTACCCATTCTCAACAAATTGTCCTGCTTAGTGATAGTGTTTGATCGCAGCCTGAATGTGATTAATTATTCAAGTCGCTTCATTACCACATTTCTTAAAATGCATATCTTGATACAAGGATACCAAACCAAAAGCAAGATAGACTTGGAAGCGCAGGTAAAACTAGCAGGTTGACTACTCCACCTGGAAGCACATCGCCAGGAGATGGTTTCACGAATGATCTTATTAATTGGAGGGCATACTTAAGTATTCGTTGTGTGAATAGATTGCGATGCGCAATCGCAAGGTAGGCCGCGGTTCACATTAAAATGAACCTCGGTCACTGCAATCAATGGAACCGTAGCCGAAGTAGATGGAATTTGGTTGTTGCCCATCTGAAAACACTGCGCACTACGACGCTTTTCGTCCTCATTGGTTCGCAGCAGGAGGAGATGGTAAGCCACGAACCCTAGACCATCGTTGCGCGTAGACTCGAAAATCAAAAGAGTAGAGATTTCGGCTACCATTCTAATGGTTATACGTTCGTATCTGGATATGACCACCTGTCACGGTATGCAATAAGCAAATTGCCTTGATTGAAATGTTGCTTTTTTCTTTGCTGGTTAAAATCTGCTACTGCACTTGCTATATTTTCATGCATGTTTTCTTTTCAGTGCTGGTATTTTTGTGCTATTGCTGTAAAATCCTGATTATGACAGAAAGGATATGTTGTGTGAAACCAAGAATATACGTTATCATAACGCTGTACATACTAATCTACCTACTCCACCCAAACTCCTTTTACTCACAAGCAATTATTATGCGTTGCAATAAGGTTAGCGATTTTCTCTTTAAATAATATATGAAATCAAGCATGTTTTAGGAAAGTGGGACCTGCGAATACTCTCAGAAGAACACTTTTAATACTTCTTCTTCCTTCGATTTGACTTAATTACAACCATATTTCATCTTTACATACAACAGCAAAATCCGCCATGATTCATCATTCCGATTAAAAATTGGGTATTTGCGTTTGGATTAAAACGGACTGACGTAACGGCTTGCCCAGTAATACCAGGAATAATTTTTACATGTAATAAGAGATACAGGGGTCTTATTGCGACGAATTTAGGCCCCACAACCAAATTAAGTTGAATAATATGAACCAAGAAGTGATAAATTTCACGCAATCGTGTGAGCCGTAATTAGCTCGCTGATATAACTCTTGTAGTCACAATTTAGGAAGTTTTCTTAACGCCGTGAAACTGATACGTAAATTACAGTTGGAAACCTGCCGTAAGTTAAGAAATCACCAATCACAGTTGTGAGTTGAAATGTTGGTTTGTTCTCTAAGCTAAGCAAATCGTTTTCTAATAGTTTTCATTGAGATTTGGGGGTAGGGTGCAGCTTAATCGCAGTTATTTGTCTTATCTTTACTTCTAGTACTACATCCACTTGAACCCATGCACAGTGAAAACATCTAATTGGTGGCAGAACTTCTGTATTCGAATTTCTCAACTACACGGACTAACCAACAGATCGGCACAGTAAATTACTTTTAAGCCTTATATGGACTAAAGGCATGTTATAAACAACATCAATTATAAGCAGAAGCTTGGTACGGTCCCAGTTATTGAAATGGCATAGATATGGTTCAAAGCAAACTGCAGGCTTAATCGAGATTGACTGCTGCAGTCCATGATGCACGGTGAGTATTCCAAAACTCAACAGTCAACTTCTAACCGCCGGGTCAAGTTCTGCTTTATGGCCTGGTGCACGTGGCGATATCTGCTAATAACTATGTGACGAACTCTATCCCCATCTCAGGCTAATTCTGTCTAATGAGTTCAAACCAGGACGAAGCGGTCGATGGTGACGTGCAAGGATGAGAGAAAGCAACACCGGAACCGCACACTTCGGAAACGGTCCCAGTGATCGGAATGGCAGAGGCTAATTTCAATGTCAATTGTGGCCACAATTGAGCATGCGTGCCGCAACCCAAGGTACACGGCCAGTACTCCGAAACCCGACGATCAACTTGATGTATTCGCATTTTACTATCGAACCATGATATACATCACTATTGTGGGGGCATGTGTATTTAAAATAGTTGATAATATCCGTAGCTCGAATAGCAATGAACAATTCACATGACCCACGATGTTTTGATCAGCGTTTGAATAACGAACGCTAAATCAGATGCGAACAACATTTGCTAAACTATAAACGAGTTCAACTTAAATATATACTACGTGAAGTTCAATTGCATTGATTGCTACTGACATCGAACTGCCCACAACTTAGTGATGGTGTGTAGAAATTACTAATGTGTGTTTTGATTTGGATGCAAAATCTCTATCCATATCTGGGTTCCATTTAAATAGATGACTTTTATTTCTTTAAACATAAAAGCTTTCGAAGTAAAGCGTTTTCGGTTTTCTTTATCCAAAATACCACTCCGAGAAGTCTATTGATGAAAATTCCATCCGCCAAACTCTACTCTTTGGGTTGCTATTGCACCTAGAGCATACGAAAACTACTGAGCTAAAGAAATGGAACAAAGTCCTGGGGATCGGTTTTGGGAAGCAAAACTACTGTAATTCACCCGCAAATTTGTTTATAATTAACATTCGACAGTTGACGCTGTTCTACTCTCGTTTAAGTAGTGGAGTTAGTCATAAGGAACACTTAGAAATACAGATGATATTTGCGATAATTTTCTGTTATATATATGTGCAGTTTTTCATACCTGGTATATGGAATTATAATTTTGTTTCAAAAATGTTTGGCACCCTATCCCAAAACACAATTCGTCTTTTATAAGTTCCTTTTCTCTTCCTATATTAATGAAGTTATCGATTCTACTGGAAAACAACAGGTGTTAGTTATGGACTTGTCGTTTTAATTTGGACAAAAGGGCTAAACCCATTCTTTACACCTGTGAACAGATGCTAGTAGTCTCGTTCCTTACCCATAACAATGTTCCGGATAAATCGTCTGATGCGGGAAATGGCCTAGTTGTTTAAGGCAAGGATAGCGATAAGCATATTTCTTGTCTGACCAAAAGCATTCATTAAGTAAAATTTAAGCGCACTTATCGGACCTGCAAGATCAGGTTGTTGCCTATAAGTGGAAAACGGTATACTCCACTCCCTGCTTCGGAGTAGCAAGATATCGGTATGATATTCTGCTGAATTATAAATCGAACAAGAATAGCTCTCAGATTAGCCATAACCTTTATTTGATGGAACATCCGGAACCGACATTTGCTCTTATTTTAATCCTGAATGAGTTATAATTATGTGGAATTTATTTTGCATAACCAAATGGCTAACTATTTTTGCGCAAATTCGTTTAAATATTTTTGGTTTATCGACTGTGGCAATCCAGCTGACGGATTCACCACACAAATTGAAAATATTAGCAATGTAGCTTGGCACTTAGCAATGTCACGAATGCTCCATTTAATATGTATGGTGAAGCATCTCTGCTACAAAGTAAAACACCCTCATAATCGATGGACCGATGAGTATTCTTATCAAGAAACTATACTGGCTAATATTGATGTGACAAAAACAACGCATACTCTATATAAAGTACATTAATATAATTTTATTAGTTTATATTTCAATAATAGTGCTCATGCTAAACTTCGATTCATAATCCTATTTATATGAATAGTAAATATAAGGCCGATAGGCTTTCATTGCCTACAGTGAGTAAACTTTTTTCGAAGCAAATCGCTACAAGGTACCTACAAAAGTATGAAAGAATA